CCCCCCCCCCCCCAATAAAATAAATATGGTTACAAACAATTTAACATTATACCTCAAAAGTTGAAAATTGCTTTACAGTTAAAGCACCAGCTGTTATCATTTGCATTAGTCCCCCATTCCAATGCAAACATTCTGCACCTTCATTATCAATGTACACAACTGCTTTTTTAACTTTTTTACATATTTCTCTCCATCCTATTTGACAAAACTGATGTAATGTCATAACCATTTTGATTTGTTCACTGGTTTTCTTTCTACAACAACCATGAGGTTCATCTGAAAACAAAATACACTGTCAGTATTGTGGTAAATTACACTTCAACATATGTAGTGTAATACAGATTTCCTAATGGATTTAACTAAACAAGCTTAATGTCAAGTGAGAAATCACCATTTTCCTCAGGAAGCAAAATTTGTTATATAACTAGACAAGAGTGAAATGAGAAAGATGTCACCTTATCAGCAAGACATTAGTGCTCAAGGAAAAAGGAGATGAAAGCCTACTCTGCAAATAAAATGTTCGTCATTTTCTTTGGGAGGAACGGTATGAGTCAAGGAATAAATTAATAGAGTTTCTCACATTATAAATGGTTGTCTCTTAGGCTTCAAGAATCTAATGTTTATCCAATTATCACAACTGCTATTCCATATGTTTTCCAAAACAATTTCCATAACCTCGCATAAGGCATGTAGAAGTTTCAAATGAAGAGAAATGATACCGTAGTCTATTTACCTTCGCCTAACCTATAACAGCTATACTATGTCGACATATTTTTAACTCATACCTGTTGTTAATGAGCCGCACTGCTTATGCCAATTAATTATTTAAAAACTTCGTACTTAAATTAGTTGGTAATAATAATATCTGCAATCTGAACATGTCACACTTTTTAAAGGGTTAACCTCATAGTAGTACTGATTGTAAAGACCTTCGTTTACAAGTTACAGCACTTGACTCCGCTTTCACGGTGCATTCATATCATATTATTAATAATTTTAATAAATATGTTAAACTGTAATCTCATACGTCTCTTTATACAAAAATTCACACGGCAAATACACAAAATTATCAACGTGGTCACACACATTCACGAGCATAAATAACTTAATGCACTTTATTGCTAAAAGGTCATAACTATATGCGGCTAGTTTCCTGTCGGTATTAAACTGCACAATTGTAACCAATCCAACCAGAGATGACAACAAGAAATGCGTAGTTAAACCATATGTTTGACCGAACACACCCTTCTACGGTTCGTCGTACCTCACATCCTGCTGGGATTGTGAACAGGTCTTTTCCGGTTGGGAGCGTTGGTTGTGGAAGATGGGTCTGTATACTGTATTATATCTCCTATATTGCACTGTGGTAAAACGCAGAAACTAAGAATCAGTATTTATTTCATTTTATGTAACCTTAAGAAGTATATTTGGTGATTGGTGTAACGATATAGGAACATATATTAAAAAATGCGTGGTTGCATATGCATCACGTGTTGTGTTAGAACAGTATTTAAAATATTATTTACCCTTGGTACTTGGCATGATTTTTGTAACTTGCAGAGTGTGGTGTTAAACTACGACATGGCACAACTCTTCACGTTGAGTTACCAGAGTTTGTTGAAAGTACACAAACTTTTGCATTCAGACATTTCGATGCAGATATGAATATTATTGGTTGAAGGCACACTTAAATATAAGTGTAGAATACGGTTTGCCACACACCCTAAAGCTAAGGTTATATGGCAACATAATCAGACCACAATCCAGCTCTTTGGAAACGTGGCGACCCTCATTGTACCACTATTGGTGTTCTGAAGGATTTGTGTGTTGGGGGGGAGGGGGGGGGGGAGAGTGACTCCACTCCGATTCTCCTCCAGCAGGGAATGGACTCAGAGCGACGACAATGAAAACGAACCCGTAAATTACAAGGAGATAAGAGAGAAAAAGAGATGAAAGACGCACTGGGTGGGGGGGGGGGGGGGGGGGAGTCCGATAAATCCAGCCTCCCCCATTTTCACGGTTGTCTGCCCATACACTGCATGTTTCAAATTTCCTTTGGAATAGGAAAACATCCTAATGTGGTTGATAAAAAAGGAACTGTGATCTTAATTTTTGTTTAGGTAAGCCTCGTGGACTGCGCACTGCTCGTAAGCACGTGAATCATCGTCGAGAACAAAGGTGGGCGGATAATGACTACAAGAAGGCTCATCTTGGTACACGATGGAAGGCCAACCCCTTTGGTGGAGCATCACATGCAAAAGGGATTGTCTTAGAAAAAGTGTAAGATAAAATGTAGCATTGTCCTGTTCAGATTTATTTACTTACAGTATCTGCAGTCAATTCCAGTTTTACCAGCTTGCAACCCCACACATCAACATGAGTTGTGACTGAACATTGTGGTTGAGGGGTTTAACAATCCTGTTTTGTATTCAGGAGGCCCCAGGTTGAAACTCAGTCCTGAGGCTGGCTACTTTGACTGGAATTTTTCATGGTTTTCATTAGTCCCTCCAGGCATATGCTGGAATAGTACCTCAAAAGTATGCCATGGCTGCTTCCTTACATATCCTTGACAATTTTTTATTTACTATCATCTCATTTGATGCTATATATTTGGAGCTACTGAAAAATCATAGTTAAGTACACTGTAAATAAACATAAATTGTGTTAATGAGGGTTGAGCAGAAGGTATACCTGGCTGCATATTTTGATCTTTTTACCATCAGTATTTTATTATTATAATGCTGTAAAATAATGTATACACTTAAATAGATTGGGCAAATTGATATAATTTTTCAGTTAACTTCCTTATTCCATCAGAAGCTTTAGTTGAATCATTTCAAGCATTTTCTGTATGCATACATGACTACTGTTTGAGACCTAGCTACCATTTACAATTTACACTAGAATCCAAGTACTGATTTATTCTGTGTGTTCAGTGGAATATGTGGTGTTTTTTTATGTTTTCATTAATGTCTTTACAGTGGTGTTGAGGCCAAACAGCCAAACAGTGCTATTCGTAAGTGTGTAAGAGTTCAGTTGATTAAAAATGGAAAGAAAATAACAGCATTTGTTCCCCGGGATGGTTGCCTAAATTATATTGAGGAGAATGATGAAGTTCTAGTGGCAGGCTTTGGTCGAAAAGGACATGCTGTGGGAGACATTCCTGGTAAGGATATACTGCTATTACAAGATGGTATATTTTAACAGTGCTTACAAATTTCATAACAAACTTTTAGATTTAAGTAAGATTTCTAATCTGCATGTCTTATTTGTCACATTTAACCTCAGTCCTTTGCTCATGTGTGTAACATTGAGGGACTAAAGTGCAGAATATATGTTTGACAGTTTGGAATTCTTGTCATGTTTCAGGTGTGCGTTTCAAGGTGGTGAAAGTTGCTAATGTTTCACTACTTGCCTTGTACAAGGAAAAGAAAGAACGTCCCAGGTCCTAAACCATTTGTACTGCTTTATGTATAATAAACACTGATAAATAATTATTACCTTTGTTTTTCATTGCATTATGATTCCAGATCTTAAACTCTTTTGTTCTGCATTATGAGCAACATTATTTGCTTTCAACCAAATGCACCAAACATACCCAGGTCTCTTTAGACTTCATAATTACATCATATTGCCATATGCTTAAGTCAAAATGTTTGGAAGCACACATTTCGGTAATGTAATAGGTTAGAATTTGCCTACAAAGCTGAGACTTTAAAGAGGGATGTGTTTAAAAAATATATAAATATTTTCCATTTTGGAAAACTGCCCTGAGTTTTATTGTATATGTTGGTGAATGTTTCATATAGGGAAGCTGTACCATCCTAAGATCCATTTTAATGTCATAGCATCTATACATTGGTCTTCTGAGAGGTATCTTCCTTCAGTTCTTTTCACCTAAAATTTTGGGCACAGTATGTTCCTTGACCATCCTAACAATATGTGAAGGGTGCAAATTATGGACCTGTTCATTATGCCATATTCTCCAACCTTGTGTCACATGATCCCTCTTAGGTCCAAATGTTCTCTACAGACACAATATGCGCTCATGTTACATGCTATGTGCAAAGAACATGTAATGCATAAAACAAAAAAACTGTCAAAATATATATTTCCGTATGGAATAGTCTTTGAAGTGACGGTCACTCAGCCAAGAAATTCCTTCCATGGAACCTGAAGGTCACAAGAACCCCACACTGGATTTCTTTGTAATCAGAATGTTAGATATATAGAAACGTGAACAGAATTTATTCCATGGGTGCTTGTATGACGAAAGGTCCTTTTTTTGACATAAAATGGCTGGTTGGGGTACCGTAGCGTCCTGACCACAGGCACTCGCATATCGATCTTCACCGCCGCGACGTGGCGTCGTTGAGGGGAGGGGTCGGGGCTGATCGGTTTGGATGCTGGGCGGGTGAGAGAGCCCAGTGTCGGGATGGAGCTCTCAGCTGACACTTGCGATCAGGAGGACCCGGCATCGACTACCCGCGGTGGGGCAATGCGTTGTCCGGCAAGTCGCAGACTTCTTAGCGCTAATTACGGGTGCGATTCTTATGGTGCTGGACAGCAACAGCAGGTGGTAAGTTTTGCCCCGGGATGTGGTGCTAGTGGACCACGACCGAGCAGACGACGAGAGGAAGCCAAGGCTCTCCAAAACCTTCAAAGGCGTGTACAAGCATGTCATCTCACAAAAGGTATCACGCCTGGCGATTCTGGGGGAGCAAGCACATCCACGGTAGCCCCGGCACCCGTAAGCCACCAGTTACTCGACAATCGACCTCAGCTTCTACAGAAGGTAGGGTCACTTTCAAAGGCGCCCTGAAGAAGTGGCATTCTGTTAATTTACTCTTCTTCGGAGTGAAATCTCAGACAGTGTCATATTCATGTTTTTTTTTTGTCTATTCTGCAACTTGTAGACTATGAACGATATTGCATGCCAAGAGAACCAAAATAATAATAATAATAATAATAATAATAAGCATTACTCAGCCGGATGCAAAAGGCCGTGCTTCTTGGGTCGCTCCGACTACTACGTGCGCACGACCCCAACTCACTGTAGCCGCCTATCTCGTGGTTTGAGCCGTGACTACAGTTTCATCTGGCCTGCAAGCATCCGAGTTATGACGGCAACACGCCTGAAGTTTTTGGCTGCTTGTGGACCAATTAAACAATTCATAATAATAATAATGTCTGAATGGCAATAATAATTACCATAGCTAGAAACTTTTTATTGTGCCTTAATTAAACAAATAAAAAAGATTGGAATGTTACATTTATCCAATTAAATTTTTAATACACATCTAAAATATTCTTAGCTTCCTGCATCAGGACAGGAATGAAACAATATCTGATATTCAATAATTATATATAAGTTACATAAATCTTACTGAAGTTAATGGCGGGAAGGAAATGTATGTTTTGAGCGCAATTCGTTTTGTGTGACTCGAAAGAAAAGACCCTGTTCCTCACTCTCAGAAATTGACGATGTTCTTCTATTGACGTTCTGCCTCCGTCATTGCTGGTGATGAAGGTAGCAAGAACAAATTGCATTTGGAACCTATGTTCAGAATTGTCCGATTAAACAAACGTGGCACTTCTAACAATCTTGATGTACGTTAAGTGGTCTTGTTTGTATCCCCTCCCAGTGAGATTTCCGAGGCTTTTACGGAAGGAGGTGGACGGTTAGACATTCGTAGCTATTGCTATCCGATAATTACAACTCTTTGCGTGTGTATGAATGACTCGAACGTGGAGGTGTGTGGTTCCGAATCGCACCGCTGCATAACGTACACTTGAGGGATCCGGATTTTGAATCTCTACACTTTATTTTGTATCGTAATTGTGCCAGGATCGAATCAACTGCCGTACGCCACATGGCTGGCTCTACCACCGCTTTGCCAAATGTTCCCCTAACCGAAATCCCTCGAGAAAAGCGTACATGCAAACGTTTTATTAATGACAGTGCACTGGTTTTGATTATACTCAGTCTCTAAGCGATGGGTAAGGCAGGTTGCTGACTTATTGGGATTGTCGGGGATTAAAATACAACTCATCTAAACTGGTCTACAAATAAACTAAAGCATATACAATTTCAGTTTTATTCCTCGACAAATGTAATTAGACTGGCCGAATAAAAGAGGATGAGCTGGGCGGGGACATGTAGCCCGCATGGAAGATAGGAGGAATGCGTGCAGGATTTTGGTGGCGGTTCAGAAATTTGAGGTTATGTCAGACAAATTTAACGTAGACAAAATCTGTACTTAATAAGTTTTTCCCAAAAAGTTATATAATAACAAAATATAATTCTGTGACATATTTATAACTATGGGCAATAAAAGCAGTCTGAGTCGACTGGGAGTGGAACAAGATTGGCTGAACTGCATTTTACTGTTGGATTATACATTTATATTACGGCACCTAAATAAAATATTAACAACACAAGGTTCGTATAACTATAAGTCTGCAAAAGGAAAGTAAGCTTTACGAGCCTTACCTGGAATTCCTTATTGTGAAATAAATTTCAGAGTAGAGAAAACTCCACTGAAATTTCGAACATGTGGACGTCTTTAATAATTCAAAGGTCTGCGGATACCTGCCTCTCTAGAGAAGTTGAAGCATGTGCGTACTAATACGATGATTTTCTAAAAGTATTACCTTTAAGAAGTGAAAACAGTTTATAAATTTCATAATAATACCACTTGCCATGCAACCCAGTCACCCAGCAAAGAAAACATTTGTAGACACATACAGAAATATGTATCATTTAGTACATGTTTTGGAAAATCTGTATCGAATGAAAGCTGCTGACAGCAGAAGTGACCCTCCAGTTTGCGGGGTCTAACAAGCCCTCACCGTAAAAGAGTAGCACAACATCGGACTTGACGGATACTTCGGTATGACGTAAGCAACGGAAAATAACCTAGATATTAAAATATATTATATAACACATATTGTCCCGCGCCGTAGCCGCGCGGTCTGAGGCATCATGCTTCGGACCGGCGATACGGAATGCGCGCTGGTTCGAGTCTCGGAGGAGAAGAAATTTTCTCATGAGCTTTCGACCGATGTATGGGACCGGTGCCAACCCAGCATCGTGAGGAAATTGGGGAGCTACAATGAGTAGCGTAATCCGGTCAGGAAAACTAGCAATGGCTGGGGGTTCGTCGTGCTGACCACACGTCATCCTATATCTGGTTGGAAGATCGTTCACCTCTGCTTAGGCATGTGAACGTGAGGCCAGCAGTCAAGTTAGTCGGCTTTTGCTCTCTGGAGCTGTTACGCCACGGATTTAATTTTAATATAACACATATTAACATTTACGTTAAAAATATAGCATGCGAAGCTGTAAGCTGGATTCAGTCGGCTGTGGATGATGTATAGTGTCGAGATCTTGTGAGGAGAGTAATGAACGTAAGATATGAGATCTTCACAGCGGTGAGTACGAAAATGGCTGTCTTCTGGGTTGTAGCGCCATGTAGTCTGGTAGAAGTTTACCGACTTTTCAGAGGTACTTGCTGCCTCTCAAACGATGGTAAACGTCTACCAGACTATACGGCGTTACAACGCAAAAGACACTCAACTTCAAAGGGTAATGAACATTCTGGTTCTATAAGAAATCGAATTTCTTGCCCAGCTGAGCAACTACATATTTCGTATGAATTCTGCTACATGACAAGACTTCCTTCATTTTCTCATTCGCCTTAATTACTTGATATAGGCAGTAACAGTAATTATGTAGGATCATCCTATATGATAATTTATTCCTTTGTGTGTATGAGCAGCTATACAGCCTATGGAGATATGACACGTGATTATGGCCTAATTTTGGAATCCACTACCGTAATCAACTTAGTGGCTGGTAATTACTACGAGGAAGTTCGTACTAACGTCAGTTACATCTGTAGTCGGTTCGTTAACAACATCGTTTTTGTGTAGTGCAGTGCCGTATACTTATCACCTTATTTTAAGCCGGGATCTAACAGCACATTGGAAGCCTTTCTTGTGTGCAAAGACGCAGCGTTTCTTGTAGCCCCTCCTCTTGCCAGTCCTTTAGCACACAGCCACCGACGACGTATTTCCACTGTGTCTATCGATGTTCTAACAATCCTTTACGCATGAACTCTGCATACAGAGAATAACTAAATCTGACGATGGATGTCTTCAAGGCTGTTGCGCCTTGAAGTCTGATGTAAGTTTACCGACGTTTCATCAGGGCGACGAGATCGAAAATGGGAAAGACGGTAACCACGGAACATAACAGCTGCTTTCATCCGCAACAACATGTCCACAGTAATTTGATCAAACTCAAACCGTTTGTGTTTCGCAGTTACTGAGCACTTCTTGATTGATCGGTGCAAACGACAGACTTCAGGTGGAAAAATACGATCCGAGCTTTATAAAATTGATCTTGCTTTACGTGTGAATAAATGCCTAGAAGTTGGTGACTAACAATTTGAACATTGCTTAAATAAAAATGATTTGACAGCAAATTCTATGAGAAGCGACTTTTGGCCCACCGTGTACAGTTTTGACTTTTTGCTGTAATTATAACGTCCTTGCATTTTGAAGAGCTTGGGTTTCAGTAATCGTATGTCGTTCTAACGAACTCGCCTGTAAAGTGTACACCGTATACTTTAACAAATTTGTTAACGTTGCTGGAGACATAAACAACTACGTCCATAAACATTCACAGTTTTAATTAGCTGCAGGTATTCATCATGGAGCCATACGAATACAATAAACACTTTATGAGGAACACGTGAATGACCTTCGTGTGGAAAACATTTGGAGCAGAGGGCTTATACTTCAAAACTTCTCTGTGTCCTCGGCTGACGAACTTGGTGAAACTGTTTAAAGAGAACACACACGACACTAGACAGAAACATTCGTGATACGTTCGGATCGTTTTCTTGATATTCAGGGTTGCTTCAGGAATATATAAAGTTTTATGTTTCTCCTACTGAATACTTTAACGCAGCGGAGAGCAGTCTTTTTGGAGAACCTGAAGCCTCTCAACTCATCAATAAGATAAAAGATTCTTATGACAACCAAAGATTCCTTATACTATTCAGAAGTCCGGCACAGAACCATATCCTGAGCCACTTGAGTACAATCAATATCATATACCCTGTTTCTTTAAGGTCTATCTGCATTAATACAGCTCAAATGATCTATTCTCTTCATTGCTAAATATTTGAAATATTAAAAATAACAAACAATACAGAAAAAAATTCTCTAGACTTATGGCGCATACAGAAACCTCCCATTTGCGCTTAGGTATCTGAATTTGTCATTACCTTCAGGACTTCTGACTAAAATTTTTATACTTTTCTCGTCTCCCCCATGCATGTTAAAAATACAAAGTGTCATAAAACGTTTTGTTATGTAGATCTTCACATTATCATATTACAATTACTAGTTTGTAGCGTAAACGATTATTTAAACGTTATTTAAAACTAGTAGTGACTCCTTACAATACCATTCTAAAACGTAAAATAAAAATGGCATGTGGGTACTATATTCATCTTGAAGGAGCGGAGCTTCACAACGCTACTAAGCTTTTCACGACAGCAAACCTTAACATGCTGACATTTCGTGAAAATGCCAGTCAATAGCATAATGCTACGTGCATATTAACATTTCCAGCTGCGGTGCAAGGAATTCTCGACTCATTAGAATTTTATGGCGACAATGAACGTTGGGCGGCACAGACTGAATTCTGTATAATGTTAATGTACACAAGTCAAAAAAATTTAAGCTACACAAAGGTTTGAATAATTCTACTACTGGATCAGA